AATAATTAAGTATTTTGTTAGAACTTAATGATTATCCTAATTATATTTTAGATTTTTTATATTTAAAATGAGATGTTTATCCTGTATTTGATTGTATTTATCTGCAGTTAGTTACACAAATTCAGTTATGAGATGAAATCGGATATGGATAAAATTGTTTAGGGATGAACGGGTTTAAGAGTTTTAAGAGTTTAAGAGTTTAAGAGTTTTTAAGAGTTTTTAAGAGTTTTAGCCAAATGCTTTATAATATAGTATAGATATGCGAAATCAGATATTGAATGATGAAAATTTAAACAAATAAAAAGTAAGATGGTTAAAAAAGCAGCCCCTGGAATCATACATGCATACGAGTTAAACATCTGGTTGTTGTTCTTTTGTTTCCATGATCAGTGTAACTTTGTATGTACCGAGATCTTTCATGTTGAAGAATTTGTTATAACCAGCTATATTTTATCGGTCTACTAAAAGCTGATGGAGTATTTTTTTACTTTATCGTGTTCCATTTTTTATTTTAATAACGGTGTCATGGTGATGATGATGTTTTGGGAATTTTAGAAAAAGAAGTATTATAATGATCGGTTAGCAAGCTTATCAAGTGAAAGCTTATTTTATGTGTGAACTGATATATTTAATGTCTTAATTAATTAATTAATTAATTCTGAAGTGTTTGATTGCGCATGGTTGATCAAAATTGTCAAATATTCGTCGAATAACATCTTAATCACAAATTACAAAAATAATTCAGTTTCTAGACACTCTTTATGTATATATACAGAGAGAGTCAAGTCCTTACGTGAACAGTAAAAGAATAAGAAAACGGTTAAATCATATGTTATTTTACATTAAAATCATGTATGATTCAAAAGACTCAGGTCGCAGCCACATCACATGCAAACCTTTAAAGCATCTTCAACAACTTTAAAAAAAAAAAAAAAAATGAGCTTTTGTTCTTTAAAATGCTTCAATAGTTTTTCTATCTTGTTCTCTATAATAGAGAATCATTGAAAAAAACTCTAAATATAGAAAATTCTTTAAAACTCTAAAGAAAGAAGAGAGAAATGACTTTTTTATTTAATACATCAATGAGAGTTGAATTAATATAATTTTATACTAGAAGGGTATTCGCGTAATGCAGCGAGATACATATTGATTTTAATATTTTATTTTATTATTTATTTCAGTCGATGTTATAATATGGTCTTATGTGATTTTGAAAAAACGATGATGTTTTTATTTTTTAATAAAATATAAATTTGAAGATATCATAAAAATTTGACAAAAATATATCGATATTAGTATCAAATTAACTATTTAAAATTCATCATTTTTTGTGTAATTTTCAATTCAATTTTTTTATTATAATTTAATTTATGTTCAATAACGAAGTAATTTATATTTGGTTTAATAATATAATTTTCTTATAAAGATAATAATTAATTATTTTGTTAGAACTCGATGATTATCCTAATTATATTTTAGATTTTTTATATTTAAAAAATGAGATGTTTATCCTTTATTTGATTATGTTTATTTGCAGTTAGTTACACGAATTCAAACATGGAGCTTTAATAAGTTGTATGAGTGCATAATTTACTTGTAATTTTGAATTTTAAGTAATATGTATCAATATACGATACTTCATGAATAAAAAATAATTTTTAATAGTTTTTGTCGAATGCTTTATACTATAGTATAGATAATGATTAAAAAATGTGTATTGAGATTATAAAATTTTAATATATTTAAATAATAATTAATGATGAAATTTCTAAAAAACAAAATCTGTTGAAGTTGAATGTAATTTATTTTACAAATTTTGACTTTTCATTCTTTATTTTAGAGAAATTATAGAGAAGTTGTTGGAGATACTCTTGCATTGACCCATAGTGCAAGTCACATGTTTGCATGTGATTTAGCCATTTTCATTTTTTTTTTTTTTTGGATATTGTTCTCATTTGAACCTCTATATATACATATATATGGAGAAGGTTCAAACAAAAAACTAAACATTTTGCAAGAAAACAAGAAGTTTCAATATCATATATGATTACACGCATGATATACAAGCTTAATCATATATGATTAAACACATGTTATATTAACAACATATAGATGCTTAATCATATATGATTACACGCATGATATACAAGCTTAATCATATATGATTAAACACATGTTATATTGACAACATATAGATGCTTAATCATATATGATTAAACACATCTGAAGAAATATAATCATATATGATATTGAAACTTCTCGCCTTTTCGTAAACTAATTAACTATACTCGTCAAACACGAACATTTAAACGACTTATTCATCAAATATATACATCTCTTCTCATACAACAATCCGATGTAATCGCAGATGGTGAAATTTTATAGAACAAGTCGTCCAATATCACATGCTTAATCATCTACTTGATCGTACCCGGTTTGTATGTTCGTATAAAGAAGAATTGTAGAGCATCAAATATACGTAGTTAGTGTAGCATTCGTACACTTAACAAATATACAACATATTACAGACGTATTTGAAAACCAAAAAGTCTGACTGAATTGATTTAGACAACGTTAAAATGTCGAAGGCAATAATGTAATATAACAAAAGTACCCGTCTCATGATTTTAAAGGAAGATATAATGTATGGTTAGCGTCGACGTGAATGAAGATATACATCACGTTCAACAATTTGTATAATCCTAAAGATGAAAATTCCTACTCGGGTATTTTTCGTACTAGTCCTAGAACCAATAATTTGAGTAAGAAATCAAGATTTTGCACCTGATTCAATCCATGATCTTTGGTAACGAGGTTGGAGTTCCAGAGAGAATGTGACCTATCAACGGTGACTCTGATGCCCGAGGATGGCGACCACCCAAAGCCGCCTGTTGTTTTTCACGATATGTTGCCCAAGTCACCAGATAAAGCCCTGATATGATCAAGAATCCTCCTACAATGCTGTTTACACAATCAGGAGTCAAAAGCAGATTAATCTAGAATTAAGTTTTGCGATCTTGTTACGCTCTATGTATGAAAAATTACAGTATTTGTGCATAATTTCATGAAACGCTTGATTACAACTCCAACCCGTCAAAATAGTAAATTTGAACGAAAGGGTGAAGAACAGACCTTCCCATATATATTGGGCTTCCGAGGAAAATTCTTGACAAAAAAGCAGATGCCGCAGGTTGGAGTGGATTATAAAGTGCAACCAAAGCAGGTCCAAGGATCTTGTTGGACCATGTCAAAAGTCCATAATTTAACGCAGATGAAATGGTTCCCTGAAAGAAAACGAAACAATGAATGCTTGTAAAAGTCGTAAGCATTTTGAATCTAGGCACGATTGGGCTCAGCCAGGTTTGGGTTGGGTAATTTGGCCTATTTCTTTGGGTTGGTTAGATGGTCCATCGACAGCCCTATCATATCTTGGGTCAACTCCGTTCGCATGTTTAATGATTCTAAAGATCTCTATGCTAATTCCAACGTGTCATAAGCTTCATCTCTAGCTTGGAAGGTATAATGGGATATCGTTAAAAATGAAAGCTTGAAACCACAGTAAAACAGGAATAAGAAAAAGATACTTACAGCATAAAGTACTGCCCAAAACTCAGATTCTGTCAAGCTCCAGTCTGTTGACTCGTTGTTCATCAAGAATGCTGTTGATACCAGAAAAATGACACCGAAAAGGTACGAGTATGCTGTAACTGACAGGCTTGCAGGATACCTGGCCAATACTGGAGCCTGAATTGATTTTAAAGCACAAATCCAACTTCAAAAAGCATTTAAAGAGGAAATCAAATAAAAAATGTATTTCAGTGTATGTACAGAGATATGTTACTATTAAGTATAAAACTAGTCAGTAGATTAGTACAAATTAGTATTATTGGAAAGACATTTTGAGACGTATAAAGGCAAATTCTATGCACACAGATATGTAAAGTATCTTAACAAAACAGGTCATGTTGGTTCAATTCACATTCCATTCACTAACGCCACCTTCAGATACCCCATGTAGCTAACGTAAAATATATCCAAGCATCACCAGCCACAAAGCAAATTGCTACCATAACTAATAGCAACTTTAAAAACTATGATTATTTTATTGCACTATGCAGAAATGCTTTATGTGGACTAACATGAAGACTTGATCGAGTCAAGAAAGAAGATTATCAAAGTCTTGGTTCAACGGATGCTTAAGTTGTTAGAGGACATAAGTTGGTTCCCGAGGTAAACATCAGAAACATGCAGTAGTGCTGAACGGAAATAGGTATATCAGATAAGAACATGTGAACGCCTACACAAAGATCTATATGAATGGTAAGGAATTGTTGCAGATGATACATTCTGATGACTACTCTAGACGTGTTCTGCCCAACACTGCTCTAGCATCATTGCAGAAGAATTTGATTGGAGAATTTCAAGATAACAAGCAGACCTTTTGGAGACCATTTAAAGAAGCAGCTTATATACTTCATTTTAAAATATGGACACAACTTGATAGCTGTCTCTGGCCTTGGTAAAATCAGAACACTTGGATATATGGCAGTATTAGAGATCAGGATTTTGTCCATAATAAACCAGAGAACATAGCCTATTAGAAACAAAATCAAATATGTATTTCTAGCATGAGTTGTTGGCTGAACAAATGGTGGAAATGGGCTCCAATTTTATTAGGTTCCTAGTGGTATTTAAACTGAAAGAGGTGAAGGGGCAGGGGGAGATTTGAGTGGTGTGATTGTTGGTGCAGAGGTAAATCAGATCATTGTGAATGCTGCTGGTTTGGATGGTTCATCACTGGTTAATCAAGAGGCTGAGCATGGATCTGAAGTGGGGTAATCAAAATGGTGTTGGCAGTGATGATATGATTTTAGATTTGAAGGGTGATGATGCTGCTACAGGGCAGAATGAAAAGATTAGTTTTAACAGAAAATTTAATGAATGTGCTACTGTTATGGGTGATAATATCGTGGGTGATTCATCAATGAACTTAGTAAGTATGAAGGTAATGGGATTGGAGTTGGGAAAGGTGATTTAAGTGTTCAAGATACTATTTTGAATGGGAACATAGCTGTGAAATTGTTTGAAAGTCAGGATCATAGCATGGAGGTTATTGATGATGCAATAGGTAAGGATAACGTCAAAAAAGATAAGAATACAGGGACTAAAAAGAATACAGCATCTGCTGATGCATTGAAAGGAAACAACATTCAGGTAGACAATGTGGGGATAAAATATGCTCCACCAGTCAAATTTGGCTGATGGGATGTGAAGTAGTGATGTTAAAGGAGGAGGTAGTCAAGAACAGGAGTTTGGCGTACTTTTTGTACTTACTTGGATATTTCATAGGACAGATATGTCATTCGGGGTGGTGGATTACAATCTCCTTAAGAAGTGGAAGATGTTTGGGATAGTTGGAATTTCCAAAATTGAGGCTAGGATTTAGTATTTCAAGTTTAAGGATGACGGAGGAATGAGACATGCATTGAAAGGTGGACCTTGGTTGGTTCAAGGTGAGTCGTGTTCATTTATGTGCGAGTATATACGACGTCCCACTTGAACTGTAGAGTGGTGAGGGAATTGGGCAACTCACTAGTGGTATAAGAGTGCCTACTATCCTGGATAGGATTACTGTGCCTACTATCACGGATAAGATTACTCTGAGGGCTACTTGACCGTATTATTGAGAGGGAGCCAAGCCTTTGGTGTTTTGGTTTTGGTATTCAGTTTGTTTGGTATTCAATCAATTCTTGTGAGACATACCTGAGCGGTCACAAAAAAAATCGTAATACGCAGAGGACCCTTAACCAAGTGTATATTGGTAATCTAATCCATAGTTCCCTACCTGCAGAAATTCTTCTAGAGCACCTTTCCAGCTCACTCATACAGTTCAGTCCACCAAATATCACAAATGCAATGAAAGATTTGATTAAAAGTATGTAAGAAAAAACCCATTCACCAGAAAATGGGGTTGGTTATATATGTATTCCGATTTTCAATGTGTACCTGAATAGCTAGAAAGGCTGCCATGCACATGCAGTTCCCTATTAAGCATAGGACACCAAGGTGCCAGTTGTCAAACCCGAGACCAATAAATATAGATAACAGCCATCCAGCAGGCTCTGGTTGACCCCTTGCACTAATTTCGTTATGTGTCCCAAGGTCATTTTCAGAATTCCCGAATAAAACTGGTCCTCGAAACATAACCATGAAGATGGCACCACAAACGCAAACAAATGTACCTCCAACCTTAGCCTGACCTTCAGTTCTGAGTAAATTCACCGTTTCTGTACTGCACGTAAAACCACTTCATATGGACTCGAAGAAATATATATACGCATAGGAATTATGTACAATACAAAGCATGCATGCATATTGTTCTAAGCCATATACAGCTGGCTTAACATTAATAAGAAATCAAAGTGAAAAGAGAATAGTTGAAACTGACCCCATAATTGTAGCGAATATAAAAGTAAAGACAGGGATTGATGGTTGTACAGCTGCAGCATATGTTGGAGTTGTGTAGCCAAGACCAAAAAGAAACAAAAGCTGGTTCCCAAATATCCTATTCAAGGTTAAAGAAGGTTAAACAAAATAAAACTGAGACCATAAACAAAGACTGCAGTATGATTCTGTAGGTAACAAAAATTTGCATGAGAAACATGATAATCGGTAACAAATGGAATTTGGAACAACTTTAAAGATCGTAAGCTTACCCGGTTAACCCAAGGAAGAAGAATGACAAGAGGAAACGCTTAGTTATAGGTGGTCTGGTTCTCCTAAAAATAGCAAATAGGAACCACAACTTTAGTTTTGTCACATTCTCCGGTTAATATACAACTGTTCTTTGCACGCAAATGATGATTAGAATGTAATAATCGAGTAGAAACAGGTGCACAAATTAATATCTTAAATTATCATGGAGTCAAACAATACCATAAATCCATAATCACTTTATCATCATCAAGTATGACAAGGATTGGTACTCAATTTAAAGACCAAGCAGTTGTAAGTCGTTCCACTTGGTTGAACGTTTTAATCGTTAACACTGAAAAGATAACCACAAGGGTGGTGCCTGAAGTGCCTGGAGGTCCCAGGTTCAAATCCAAGGAGGAATAAAAATCCTCTTGTGGCCACGGAGGTTCAAATGCGGTGACTCCAAGCAGATGGTCACCCTGGGATTAGTCGGCTCGCATAGCGGGTTGGATATCCAGGTTAATCACAAGAAAAAAACACTGAAAAGATAATACACTACTAAGAACTACAAAGTAGTATTTACTCAAATCCATAGATACATTTGATAGCCTAATAATCATATTCTCATATATATGAAGTAGAGGTGATCCTAATAAGTATAGTTAGCTTATAGCATATCACATTGGTGATGAAAAACAAAAAGGGACTCCCCAATACCCATACTCATCAACAATCATAACAACTTTTTGCTGACGATTTATAAACCCATAAATCAAAATTCTAGGGTGGTAGCAAAGCTTCAATTCTCTAGTTATAACAATAAACCTTTTCCACCTCTCCTCTTCACAATTCTAGTTTTTCAAAATTAGTGTTGTCTAGAGCAATAGCCTCCTCCCCGCTAGATCCCTAGGGTTCCTTCTTGAAAAATAATTAGCAATCGGTAGATTGGCACAATGATATATTATAAATGGACTGATGAATTCATTTTCCAAACCGTCTTCGAAACTCACAAATCCCCATTTTCATTTTGAACATAGAAATTTGAAGAATTTGACCAAAACATTACAAATGCAAGATCTTGGATTGCAGATCTCACATTTCAACTGTTACAACATCTACATCAAGAACACATAATAGAACTATTTTCAAGTCCAAAGCAACGATTGTCAACAATATCATTTTCACTCAAGACTACGGAAAAATCATATGATTCAGACCTTAACAAAACACATTGATAACAGAAATGTTGACGAGATAAAGCAAACAGACATTTGATATCTGATAGGAAAATGGAGATCTGGGAGGAGAGTTGACTAACTTTTCACGGAAGTAGGCGATGGGAGCAAGGATTAAGAGGGCAAGGACGTCACGATACACACAGAAAACAAGCCGGCTAACTCCAAAATTTAGAGCTACTTTGGTGATCACATGGGATCCTCCAGCGAAAAGTTGTACCATTGTCATCGCTGCATGTGCCCTCCGTGCTTCTTCGCCGGCAACACCAACGCCGCCTACCGCCATCACTTTTTCTAACCTGATTTACACAAATTTTCGAAATTCGTTTCTACCTGTAGACTGAATTGATCTTTATGCGTATAATATATACACCAACAGCTCTGTATCTATGATTTGATTTCGATCGATTATAAAGATCGTTTTCTCCTCAATCTTTATGGGTTGAGTTCCAGTTTGGTGGAGAAAATGATGATCGATCGATCTTCAATCTGAAGGAAAAAAAATTGAGACTTCTTCAGAAAAAAATCAACGCATTTGAAAAGGAAACGATCCGTCTTGAACTTGGGGATCTTCCAAATTTAGGGTTAACCCAAATTTGGAATTTAGTCAGCTGGTGGTTAATGAAATTTCAAAATCCCAAAGGGTTAACGCCATGAACAAACCGCCAAACGAATCAACTCAACTCTCTCCGTTAACAGGTGGTTTTGAAAATTCTTACAAGTTCAGGGGTCTCAATGTAAAAAGTAGTAACTATCATGAACTACACAAATGATCACATCCTTATTTTATAAATACGCACATTTAGTCCATAACTTTTAATTTTAGACTTTTGATTACTATATAAATATTTTCTTTGACATTTTGATCCTTTTTTCCGTCAAGATGCACAAAATGACCTTTTCTAGGCATGAGCATATCCTTTCTTCCGTTAACGTCTCTTTGGTTTGTATGATTTGTTATGATTTGAAATTCAATTCTATTATAATTCTATGTTTAGTGTTTCATGGGAATTTCACAACCGACAGATTTTAGAAATTCGGTGGAGATGACTGTCGTTTTAAATCCAAACCAAATTTCGATACGTTTCTCAAAAAATACGAATCATAAAGACCCACTTTCCGAAAATATCTTCCCTTTCTTCGGGATCAAACATCAATTTCAACGATTCGATATACAACTCATCGAAACAGATGTACATAAAAAAAACACCCCCGTAATCGGAACAACTGAGTTATATCAAATAGCTTATCATGGATTTCAGTTGTTTCCGTCACATCTCTACCTATCTTTTCCTTCAAATCTGTCCTAATCTCTCCACCGCCTCCACATTTTAATAAAACAAACAAATATTTACAAAAAAAAAAATACTCAAAAACATTAATACTTTTATTACAAATTTAAATATGATGAAGCCCATAAACCCATTGGCCCATTTACTTTCATTTAATGTTGTGTAAGCCCAATATCAATTGAATACTCATTGTGAATTAAAATTAATATTATAAATATTAAATTTAATAGCCAAATTAATTTTTTGAATTAGAATCCTTGTAAAACTCCAAAACATTTGAATTTTGTAGAACAATTATAATTAAATATTAAAAAAAATGTTAGTGTTCTTCTAAGATGAATGAAGTAATAAAATGTTGTGTATGCTTTAAAAAAAATAAACTCCTTGTTATATGTGTTGTTTTAACTGTAATAATCTTTTTATCAATCTGAATATCCAACCCGCTATGCGAACCGACTAATCTCAGGACGACCATCCATGTTGCGGGTAGCCCGGAGTCACCGCATTTGAAATTCCATGACCACAAAGGGATTTTTTATTTATTTCTTCTTAGATTTGAACGTAGGAGCTCCAAACACTTTTAACATTTGGAGCTCAATCTTAAACCAATCGTACATCACCCTTGTGGTTAGGTTGATTAACCTATCCCCATTATCAATCTCCAATCTTGATCCATAGTCTCGTTCCCCGTCAAGGAATAAGATTCATCCCTATCACTATCAGGAAACGGAGATCCCATCAGGAAATCATAGATTTTTCTTTGTCTATACAATTTAATATTTACGTAAAGTTTTTTTATAATATTATGCATATAAATACAGTTTACATCTAAACGACATAAAATGCTAAATATTATAAAACACCGTAAAAGATATAACACTATAGATGTTAAATTATAGAAAATAGAATACTCATTTTTTAGTATAATTTGTTCGACTTTAATTTTGTTATATTTCGCATAATTTCAATTTAAAAAACTAGAGGTAATTTTAAAAAAATGATCGTAATTTTTTCTATCACAATTGTTAGATGATTTTATCTACGTTTTCATGAATTGAAATTCTTTTCATTTGAACCTCCACCTATGAACATATACGTATAAAAATATACAAACTTTATTTTTAGGTAAAAAAGATCTTCTTGTAGAAATATAAATATATATATATATATATATATATATA